AGTAAAATTATGTCTTTTTTTTTTTTTTTGCTTTCTTAAATCTCTATAATCTCTATAATCCGAACCTGACCTTGCACTCCCACACTCCCGGACGCCGTGAAGCAGAAACATCGCCAATTTATCTAATCTATCGCTAAATTCTCCCCGATTTTCACTCTCGCTTCTTCTTCCTTCTTCCTTCGCCATGGCGCTGGGCCCAGGCACTGCCCAGAGACTCCAGACGGTCATCGAGTTGGGAAAGACCGCGTTCCATTGGGGTTTCATCCCGGTGGTGCTCTATTTAGGTACAGAAAAAGTTTCGTTAATTTTGTGTTGTTTTTTGTTGATATTGATTGATTTTTTACAGTCTGGTTTGGATTTTAGGCGAGTAGACAAGCTCCCCTGTGAAGAAATTTCAGAATTAAGTATTTGTTATCAAGTCTTCCCAAAAAAAGTATCGTGCGAACCCCAAAGCTAAGCCTTACCTTTCTTACCTTTTATTTATTCCCGAGAGTGACGCTCCCTCCAGAAATAAAGTCCAAAAACCAGGTTATCATACAAACCCAATATTCCAAGCCTAATCTTTCTTAGCTTCTATGGATTCCCTAAACACAAGGGTGCATGTCATGCACTTAGGCCCAAAGATCTCCGGCGTGAAGTCTAGCCTAAATTATATTCCTTGGCGTATTGGCGTTATTCATTTACAATGCACATGCACCCCCCCCCCTACACTCCTTGCAGCTGTTTTTTATCACTTCCATAGTTTTTGAAAGTGCCGCCATGTCTTGGAGTTTTTTAGACAATGTGAATGTACTTGGCGTCATACTTTATGAAAAATTACTCTTATCGGGAACATTGGCATACACTCAATGAGCTATTGGCGTACCTCTGGCGTGAGTTTTACACAGAATGCACCCTGGCCTAAACAAAGGGCAAACCCCATGTACTTCCCTCCTCTATTAGCACTTTGGGCCAAATTCAGGAAATCACAACATTAAGATCTCTGGTTGTGTGAGGGTGTTGTAGACTTAGAGTGACGTTAATTAAGAGGCTACGGTACCAGTTTTGTTCATTACTCTATTTCTTTTGCTCTATAAGATTGCAGTGTCTACTTCCCTCTATTGTTGTGCGTCACTCTAGGTAATAATAACCATTCCCTATAAAGGAGAACCAAACCTCCCATTAACCCCCTTTATTGGCACTTCATGTACACACAGAAAACACAACATTGAAAACTCTAGCTGGATGTTGTGGACTTGGTCTCTGAGTGGTAATATGCAGCACATATATTTGTCATTTCCCTGTAAATATGAGGCTGGAGTAGCTGTACCTGTGTTGTCCATGACTCGTATTTCTTATGGTCTTTAACCCATTGCCGCCGGGGATGGCATGTACGTACATGCCATGCCCACTGTGAGTCGACTTGTTTGATTGTTTATACACATAGATGTACTAAGTAACCAATGAGCCAATTACGAGAACTGCCTGTCTTGCCCGTTCACCCTTTTCATCGATTTACGAAAATATTTAACATTATCCTAATTTGCTGTAAAAAATAACACCATCTATATTTATAGCACTAGTAAGAATATGTTTTTTACCGCCAATTCAAGGAAAGGTGAAATCAGGGCTAGCAGAGCCATCTATGGCCAGAGATATTTCACTAAAATATAAAAAATGAGTAAAGCATTTTCCCCATTTTTTGTTCATTTTCCCCGGCGTCAATGGGTTAAGATGGCCAATTACATTTCCCTCTGTCTTTGTGCATCATTCTCAGTAACATTAACCCAGATTAGAATCTAGAAAAGATAGGAAAGCTGATTCTTAAAACAATTTAACCAGAAATGATCATATTCTTATGTAAAGAATTAGAGAGAAATATAAGGTGGTCTAAAGTCATTTATCAAAACCAGCAAGGCTGTGCTCACACTGTAACAATGTTGTGAACTACCTTTTATACTCTGTCAAAGGCAAATAAATATCCTCCATATCTATTAAAGTAATGTAGAACTAGAATATAGAATTGAGGATTGGATGACTGTAAAATTGTTGTTCAAATTCCCTTTGTTGATATTGTCTGTATGGAGGTCTGTGTGACAATTTTCAGATTATTTATTACAGGAGGTAGTCACACCAACAGCTTTATCACCTCCTTGAGCAAGCTGCAAGCTCCTATTCTTTAAAGTTATGATTTGTTTGGCTTTACCAATGGAAAGTCAGGAGAGGGAAGACAAAATGTTTCAAATGCATTTGATTTTTGTTTAATTTAGAACAAAATGTTATATATGTGTTTTTGGCATGATCTTCTCTTTCTTTCTCATAGTATACTGTGCTACAGCACTAAGGTTAACAAACACTGTACCCCATATATTCTGGCAGGGTAATTCATTACAAGGTTAATCTTTACAATATGGATACACTAAGCTAGTTCACTTGAAGACAATATTCTTGTAGAGAGAAAAAGTCATTTGTACAAGAAATCATTTACAGACACGAATAGCAATGCCACAGATAAAGGAAATTTATCGTGGAAGGCACAGTTCACAGCATGACCACATGGTGCTTCCATGTTTCAGCTCTGTCTTGCCATGCATGCAGTGGTGAAGACAGGGTGGCCTCTCCTTGTGTTATTCCAGTCATTGCAACTTAGAATGTGGAACATATATTGTGAGGTGAAGTTGAGGACTTTGTCTTTGGCGAGTGCTTCCACTCGGTAAAGATTTACACCTTACAATACAGACACTTGCCGGAGACTAAGTCCCCAATTCCATGTCACGAAATTAATTCAACACACTAAGATGCCCTGACTGGGACTGTCCAAGGAGAGGGCTCTTCCACCCAACACCCCCTGGCAAATATTGTCTTCATTTCAGTATGCACATTGAGGTCAAGCTGAAATTCAGGAGCACCAATGGGACTTAAAACGTGAACAGCGATCCTTTTCCTTTATAAGTGGTATTACTGTTCATGTCTGCAAATTATTTCTCGTACTGACAACTTTGTCCTCAAGTAAGAATATAGTCTTCAATTTGCCTTTAGTGCGTCCATACCATTAATATTAACCTCAGGCAGGATTAGGCTTGGACTAATTCCTTATTTGCTCCACATTATCAATGCATAATCTATACGAAAAACCAGTACAGCAATTTCACACGTCCTCTCAGTGCAAGAACAGGCTCGGAAATACCTTGAATAGGTGAGTTGCTGACTGACTGGAACAATAAGCAACTCAAATCAGTCTATACCTATGAATGACCTGGTGACTTAGTAGTTTCCATTCTTAACTTCCATAGGGAAATAAATGCCCTTTTTTTTAAGATGACTCTTTTATAGACAAAACAGTTCAAACAAGAACCAATCACTTGAATCTTACCAGTGAAAAATGAAGGTTAAAAGAGCTTCTGCAGGTGTCATTTTCTTTATCAAATATGTATGACTTATTTTTTATTTTCAGTTAGTACAGATTTTTTCAATTTATCACTTTCATATACTAACATTGTTGTCAATGTGTGAAGTGTGAAGGCTGCATCATCACTTAATATGGTCACATAACAAATAATTACTGGTAAATGTTTTAGATCCATTCATGAAGATACCATTGTCAATCTGTTTCACTTGAAGTTTACTAAACATTCATGGTCATGGTTATTACTGAAAAAAGATGGTACTGTCAACACTTGGACCAAGGCAGACAAACCTCTGCATGAATGATTTTGGAGCACTTTGTCCTCGAGCCATATCTTGTTCTTCCTTTTCAGCGAGTATGTTACTTTGATTCTTACCTCTTCAGATTTTCAGTGATGTTTTTGAGGTATATATATATATATCAAGAACCAAATAATGTCAAAGTTAATTTATTTTACAGGTTTCAAACAAGGAGCAGATAATGGTTCTCCGCCCATTACTTTGGGAAAGTAAGTAGTTAGCAAGTGCAGTATTCTTTCTTTCTTTCTTTCTTCTTCAAAATTACTTTATCATCTGTAGTGTTGTCTTCTGTATTTATGAATTGTATTTTATTTAGATGAGTTTCATCCTCAGCTGAAATTTAGTGAACTGAGAAAAAGGATAGTAGGTATGATGTAAATCAGGAATGAACGAATCTTTTCTCTATGGAAAAATGTTAATTGCATGTTTAATCACCATACTCTTTATCATTTTATATTTTGAGGAAATATATGGCACAAATACATTAAAAAAAACACTTGCTGATCAAAGCATATTTCTCACAAAATTTACTTAGTTTTATTACATACCTACTGTAGGGGGGAAAAAATGGATGCACAGATTCCTTCAGTAGTGGCAGTGAATGTAGATATTCATTCAACAAAGACAATAAGATAGTTTAGAACAAGCTACAGGAAAGTGGATAATTAATCTTTTTTTCTTTTGCTCAACAGTATCATCTGGTAACTTGCAGTTGCATCAGCTGCAGTACGAGGACAGTTCCAGAACCCTGTATGAAGAATAGTATGATCGATGTTGGATGAAGACTGTTTGTTGTTGTAATATTGTTCATTTCTAGGCAGTCAAAATGTGCTGTTGTGTATAGAAAGGTTTAAAATGGATGCATTTATTTTGCAAAGCAAGAGGAAAACAATCAAATATTGTGTAAATCAACCTATGAGATAATATTATGCAAATGGATTGTTTGAATGTTTTATTACCCCAGTTATGTGTCTCTTCAATTATATAATTGCTTTGATGTATAGTAGTGCATAGGTAAACAAAACACATCAATATTTGCTCTGCAGTTTTTAAGAATACTTTGTATATATAGCATGAAGGAGTGTATGTGGCATAAAACTTATTTTCTTGTAATTATTTAACAAGTATTAAACTTTATCAGAACAAAACTCATTTGTCATCTTGAACAGAAAGCACAGCACTGGTAGATGGATTCATGCAATGTGTAGCAATGCAAAGCAGTCTGTTTTAATTTTAGTTGTGCAGTTGTCATATCATAATGCAAACAATAGAGACTGATGGAGACAAAACAAATACAAGGTAATGAAATACGAATGTTTCATCCACATCTTTACTTTTTCACATTTATTTACAAATGCAGATTCATACATGCATTAAAAACACATTGGAAAAAGTCGAGTAATACATTAACAATGGCACCAGCTACAAAATAAATTGTAAAATAAAAGGCAGAAAAATAGCATAGTCACATTTCAGTGGTGAGTTTGGTCAAAAGGCATATTAAATGGGTTTGCAGTCTTTAACTTACATCTATGAACTCCAATCTTTATGGCAATAGGAAGACTTTACTGTTATTAATGTTGAATTATAAATAAGTAATACAAACAAATATTACCAAATGTTAAATGAGTTTTTATTAAGGAAGACAAGCATTTGTGTGGAATACCTTTCAAAGGTTTACATGTTCCTGATGCTTTTAAAAACAAGAATTCATCCATACACAGGTCAGCAGCCATATTTGAGACAGACTACTTAATTACACAAAGTTAATAAGGAAAAGACTAAATAGGGTTTTTATTATTACTAATGTCTTTTTTTAATGCCAGGTACTCTGACTTTTTTTTTAAATAGGCAATGCATTTTTATACTTTTGAACAAAATATATTCCTGATCATTCATCATAAAGAATAAGTACAGCATTAATATTCATTTTGCTGCTTCCTTCAGTGTTCAGTTGTTCAATTGCTCATTAACCTGGCTTTGAATTCACTCCTTAAAATTACCTTGTAACACTATATCTCTTGTGGGGTTTGACTAGACTGCTTGGAGCATCTATCATAATCTGAAATTAGAGTCTTCTTAGTGAAGAAATATATATATTTAAATTTGAATACATAAACATACATATATGTATATGTATACATAAATATTTATATATTATATATGTGTATGTATGTATATATATATATATTGATAGATAGATAGTTAGATACATAGATAATTATTTGTATATACATTAATATATTTATTTATTTATATATATATATATATATATATATATATATATATATATATATATATATATATATATATATATATATATATATATATGTGTGTGTGAGTGGATGGGATTGTTTTTGTACACTTATTATACCTTATTATAATCACAAACATGAATATATTCATATCTATATCATTTCAATGTGGACCCCTTTTATGTCCACCTTCATTTTAGAGCAGCATATTTATGTATATGTGTGTATATACTGATACATATAAACAGCGAGAATCATCATACACCCCCCCCCCCCACATATATATATATATATATTGCACCAGGCAATATAAACGTTCCACCCCATCTTCACCTGCTACATTATCTCCTACACCCACCTCATCCTCTGTTCCTCAGACATCTAGTTTTACATTTTTTCTACCATGTATTATATGTGTGTGTGTGTGTGTGTGTGTGTGTGTGTGTGTGTGTGTGTGTGTGTGTGTGTGTGTGTGTGTGTGTGTGTGTGTGTGTGTGTGTGTGTGTGTGTGTGTGTGTGCGTGTGCGTGCGTGCGTGTGCATTACATATATATATATATATATATATATATATATATATATATATATATATATATATATATATATATATTGTGTGTGTGTGTGTATTTTGTTTTGATGGCATCAGTGTAAAGGCCAACCTTCTCAGCAGATCTAAAATTTGTGAAGCAGACTAATGGCATTCGTTATTGAGTCAGCGAGAAGGACAAGATCATCAGCATGCATGTATTTGAGAGTGTTATCCATACCGTTGATGATATATATATATATATATATATATATATATATATATATTATGATGTAATGCAAAACTAGAAAAAGAAGAGCTACAGTTCACAGTGCAATGGCCCTTCCCCTTTCCCATTATTTAATAGATTCGTATGTCACGTGACGTGCGAGGCAGCCCCCCCCCCCCCACACACACACACACACCCCAGACGTATTACCTGACAGTCTCCGCGAAGGACTCATTGACCGTGCCAGTGCTTCGGCTGTCGTCTCCTCTTACTTGTCTGCGGTCTCTCTCCAGCTCTATCACCATCCCCTGTACCGTCACACGCTTGAATTCTAGAGGCAAAAATAAAAGAAAGTTCATGTGAGCGTCATAGAAGAAATGGGTTGTTCACTTTACAGCGTTTTCTTGTAAACAAACAACGGGACCATGAGTTTGTTATTGCCAACTTCGCGGTCTCTGTTTGATTATCTTTATGTCTCTCCCTCTCACCAGTGGCTTAGCTTGATATTTAGTTTGATGAGAAATATGTATAAGTAATTTTATTTATTTTAAACAATGTTGTTTGTACAGAAACATTTAGAATTATGCTGCATTTAGATCCCGGTGCCAGTGAAAAATGGCCTCCTCCCCTTTCCATATTCCTCATTTGTTCATTCCACTTCCTTTTCTTCTCTTTTCCTCCCAGTTAGGCGTGATTAATTGACACTGGTTGGAAAAGCACAATGCAACTACAGATTCTTGATAAAAGAGTCAATAGCAGATCTAGAAAATACTAAAAAATATATATTATTATCATCATTGCCATCATTATTATCATTATCGTTATTATCACCATTCTCATGGATGATAACAATAATCTGCCCAAACAAGCCTACTCATTCCAGTCCTTCCCAAAACGCTTGAAAATTCTACTTCATTCACAATACCTGGGACAAGGGTTAACAAGACAACGTAAAAGGCACCAGCAAGGATCCACTCCGAAGCTGTAGCCACGATGTGATAGGCCCAGCTGTTTCGTTCTCTCATCCAGCTGTGCTCTGCTGTCCAGTAAGCTGAAATATAATGTTTACTGGTAAGTTCGAGGTGATAACATTGCTGTCGATCAAATGCTGGGATATTCTCGAGGCATCCGTAATGAGAGATAAAACATGTAATCACGTGTATCCATGATTTTTTTTTTTTTTTTTTTCTTTTTTTACCAGAGCAACATTGTTTCAAATACAACTCTCCCTCGCGGACACCTTTAATATTTAAACTACTTCCGCCTCGCAATAAATAATAATAAATAAATAATCTCCAGAAATACACATACATCTCACAGATTTGGATGCCAAAAAAATGACGACTAGGAAACGAGGAGGAAAACTGCCAAAACCTACACACGTCTTTGTTGTCTCTTGCGTGTAGGTAACTGAAGACGACCGTTATGACACACATGGCGCTGGCAAGGAAAGAGCAGATGACACGTAAATGTGATACTGCTCGGCTGTTCACTCGCGGCTCCAGACTATACGACATCACCGCCTGAAAGAAAGGTGAATAAACAAATAAATAGGTAAGATAGATAAAGACATGTTGGGTCATTCTATCGTTACGTGTTACTGCTGTGATGGGCAGTGCCACGAAATATTATGTCGTAACATTTCATTCGAAAATACTTCGAGAAATGTGTTGTCTCACCTGCATCCATATGTATAAATTTCCCACCCCGAAAGCCAGGCAGGCGCCAAGAAGGTGAATGCTTGTGAAATTGGTGGCCTGAAAAGTATAAAAAAAAAACCGGTTCACTATCTCGTTCAAAACAGAGAGACCTCGACAGCATTTCACATGTTCCCAGTATCAACACAAATCATTTACCTGGAAGTTCCCAACCAAAGAGATCCCGAGGGAAGCTGCATACCCGAAGAAGGAGGCCACTTTGCTCCTGGACGGAAGCGTCTTCGGGGCAATGTTCTTGGCGCAGTAGTCGAGGATTATCTTGTGCCTCGCCCACACCAAGGCTGCCACTGCAATGGACAGGGAAATTGCCTTATATACGGTGCTAGTAATCTCGTTTACGTGTTCTATATACACGAAATTCGGGGACGGAAATATATAGAGATCCTTTCTTTTTGCGAATAATATACCAGCAATTCAACCAAGATGCTCCATTGTCCCCCAAAGCTGCCAAGACTTACTCAGCACAGCGTCAATGTTGAGCATCTGTCCGAAGAAGCAGCTCTCTGGCGGGTAGGTCCCCGTGGCGCTGATGTAGGGGAAGTCCGGTTCAACATGCCCCGTGACTACAGACCAGACGTACCTGTGGGCATTCGATACATCCGAGATCTGTGTTATTGTGCTACTGTGTCATCTGTTATTAAGGCCTATGTTGCGCATTTCTCGTGCTATGCAAATAGTAGGGAGTGTGTACTGAATAAAATTAAGAATTCTTCGCTAGAAAGAATATTTTTGCACAATATTCTCGCAAAAAATATGTAATTATATATGAAAACCGTTAAACCAGTTTGGTGATTCTACACAGCATCATCTATTTAAAATATCCTGTACAATTATGTTTATAAAAAAAAAAACAAAAAAAAAACATACAAGCTTTTCACGTTCCAAACAGAATGACATTTTCCAATTTCACTTCGACATTCCAAGACCGCCAGTTATCAGCAGTTGATTAAATATCTTATCCTTCATTTACGGGATAAGATATTGCAGCGTACTACAACGGTGTGGTTACGCCTGCATCTTGAAAATCGGGGGGGGGGGGAGTTCAAGATTGATTAAGTGATATAATGATAAAGACAGAATACCAGGAATGCTGACGAATCTTGGGGATGTGGTCTAGTGTAAATGATGATTGGCAGCTAGAAGATGTGGAAGTAAGAACTAAGTATAAAGAAATATCAGTAACGAAGATTAAATAGAAACCGCAAAAATAGATCTATTTCATACACATATATATTTTATCATATATATATATATATATAACTATATATATATTCATATGATATATACGTACAAACACACACACATACACACAACGTGTGTTTTATATATATATATATATATATATATATATATATATATATATATATATATATATATATATATATGTGTGTGTGTGTGTGTGTGTGTGTGTGTGTGTGTGTGTGTATGTGTGTATTATATATGTTTATATTATATATCATATACACATACATATATATACACATATACATATATATATATATATATATATATATATATATATATATATATATATATATATATATATATGAATGGTAAAACACTCGTGTTGATGTTATGGTAAAAAACAC